GGGGGGGGGGGGGGGGGGGGGGGGGCTGTCTCTGATACCCCGCCCCATTTTGTCCCTGATCCTCCAAATTTTCGAATCATCCATTGGTCTGATTTGATGTGATTCTAGTTAAGTTTAAAGTTGTTTATAATATAATTTGATCACGTCTTATCTGATATTATTATATTTGAATCTAAAATTGTTTCTGATCCGGTCTGATCTGATTTTAATAGGGATAAATCAAAGAACATTATCACCAATAATCTCCACAAGAGCATATGCCATCTTTAAAATGATGGAACCTATTGGCATCCCTCACAACAATAACTCTCCCAGTGAGCTTGGAAATATATCTGGTGAAGCTATGGCAATCAATGCAGACCCTTAAGTTCTTGACTATCCTGATCTCAGACCCAGGCTCAGAAGCTATAAGCCCAAAAGAAATGGCTAGCTTCTCACTGTGAACTTTCACCATCAGCTCCTTTTCCTCCTCTTCCACATCATGCAATGCTGTGCTAGTCTCCACCTGAAACCCAGCCTCCCTCATCTTCTCCATCATCTCCTCCAGCTTCGAATAAATGGCACCAGATTGCGGGTGTGACTGGTCACTGGATTTAAACACGTACGGGTACCCGTCGACTTCAATTAGAGTGCATCCAGGAGTCTTCGCTAAATTCCTCTTCTTAACCATTTGCCTCACCGAAGCAGCCCGCGGATAGTTGTGGTCTGTGGAATGTATGTTTGCTAGAAGCACATAGTAACCGACATTTACGGCGTCTAAGTTAAACAGCTTACCAGAGACAAAGTTAGCAAGATTGGTGTTCTTGTGTGTTTTGCAAGCAGCTAACAGAGCACCCCATTCGGCTGGACCTGGTTCCACTGGCATTCTTTCTATAAAGTTTAGGGCTTTTTCTAGTTTCCCGGCTCGGCCTAAGAGGTCAACCATGCACGCGTAGTGTTCAGATGAGGGCTTAATGCCATGATAATGGACCATGGAATGGAAAATTTTTTCGCCTTCTTCTACCAAACCAGCATGACTACAAGCATAAAGCAGTGAAAGAAAAGTAACTTCAGTTGGGTAAACTCCAGAACTAAGCATTCTATCAAAGAGCATCAATGACTCGCGGCCAAATCCGTGTAGGCCATAACCCGAAATCATGGCATTCCAAGTCACTGCATTTCTCTCCAGCATAGTATCGAACAATTGCCGAGCTGTTTCAATGTTACCACACTTTGCGTACATGTCAACTAAAGCAGTTAAGACATAAATGTTGGACTCCAAAGTTTCGTTCTTTATCAATTCATGGATCCATCTTCCAATGCTTAGAGCTCCAAGCTGGGAACAAGCTGAAAGTATACTTGTTATCGTGATAGGGTTGGGATGGATATCTAATTTTTGCATTTGAAGAAAGAGAGATATTGCCATTTCTGTCTGACCATTTTGTGCATATCCTGATATCATTGCATTCCAGGATGCCAAAGTTCTCTCCGAGGACTCATCGAATAGCTTCCTGGCAAATTCAAGTTCATTCAAGCGACTATAAGCCGTTGTAAGTGCGGTAGAAACAGAGGGATTCCTAATTATATAAGTTTTTACACAGAGACCATGTATTGAAAAACATAAATCTAGATGACCAAATGGGGAAGACACAGGAATCAAACCGACAATAGTACTAGAATTAACTTTCTCCCCTGAGGCAAGCAAATCTTTGAATAGCCTTACTGAAGATTCAGTCTCATTGTTGAATGCAAACCCAGCAATCATTGCATTAAATGGAATCAAATCTGGTTTTCTAATTTGCTCAAACAATAACCACCCTGTTTTAACATCCCTACATCTTGAATATGCTGATATAAGCCCTGTAAGAACAAAATCATGAAAAAAACACCCAACCTTTATAGCCAAACAATGAACTGTCTTCCCCATCTGCAACGCCTGCAACTCAGCCACAGAAGTGAGAACCACAGCCAGCGTGGCAGCATCGTATTTGATCCCACTCCCAACCATATCCCTGAAAACCCGAATTGCTTCGTTGAAACAAAAGTTCTTGGAGAGTCCAGCCACCATAGTGTTCCAAAGCACAGTATCGGGACAAGCAATTCTATCAAACACCTTGCGTGCATTCCCAGTTCTTCCGAAACTCATATACATATCCACCAATGCAGACCCAACGAACAAATCCGAGCAATACCCAGAAACAACCGCTTGCCCATGGAGCAACAGCCCGAATCTATGATCCCCGGACGATGAAATGCCCGAAATAACGAACGCGTACGAGTAATTATCTGGTTCCAGTCTCGTTTTGCTGCAGCGTAAGCGGAGGAAGATGGATAGAGATTCAATGGGCAACCCGTTCTGGGAGAACCCTCGGATGAGAACATTGTAAAGAAACAGATCGGGGCGATTGAAGGCGTTAACAATCCGCCTGGCGATAGATATGTCTTGATGAGGAGCAGAGAAGCTCTGGGTTAGCTTGGTGACGGCTATGAGGTTGTTGCTATGGCCGCTGCGGATCAACTGGGCGTGAGCTTGGGTGAGCTCGGAGACTGTTGCGGCCTTATTGATTATGCCCAGAAAAAACTGCAGACTTCTGGTGCCTGCTGATGGATCTCTGTAAATCATTGGGGCATTCTGAGCGGTAGGGATGGAAATGCAAATTTGTTTCAAATTTTATATCCATTCTCTTGCTTCCAAATTAAGGAGTATTTGTTTGTTTTGAACAAGGTGTAAAATCTATTTTTAAAAAAATAATTTTATTTACAAATTAATATAGAAATAGAAAATACTCCTTCCGTCCTCCAATTTTTATCCAATTTTGATTTTTGGATCTATTCATTTAACTACTTTGACTCATCAAATTCTCTCAATGTGTAAGTCTAAATATAGTCATGTGTGATCTTGTTTGATTTGTCTTAACATATAGATTATTAATATATAATTTCTATAATTTTTTAATATATAAATTACAAGATAAAATGGATTAAAGAAGTGCATTGAATAATGTGTAAAAATGAAAGTGGACAAAAAGTGAGAGACCGAGGGAGTATAATTTACATGTTTCTAAATGGATCAAAAATCTTATAAAAATACGGTGATATGACATTTTATTTAATTAAATTATCAAAAAATACATACTCAGACAAAAATTATTGACATACTCTAAGAGTAAATAGGACATCTTAGAGTAGAGAGTATTCTTGTACCAAATTATTGTTGTAGTTTGAGTTTTTTCAATCTGAATATACTATGATATTTTTAGACTATAAATTATGAAAAAAGTATGGAATTTACTTTATTACGCAGTATAATGTAAATTTAACATAATTGAATCTGTTTTAAGATATACTTTTGATATTTCTATTTTTTATGCCAAGAAACAATTACTCTCTAATCATTTACAAATATAGTTTTGAAAAGGAGAAATCTCTAGATAGGAGTAAAAAAGTATGAAAATAACAAAATATAAGTTACAAGTCTTTTAAAGACCAAAATAGGAAAACACACTGTCATTGTTACATTGTCACACTTACCACATTGTCACATTGTAACTGCGACACTGCCATCCGTCGCCTTCGGCCACCAGAGTGCCGTCGCGAATCGTCGACGATTGACTGATCACACTGATATACTACACTCTCATCACATACTTTTTCATCACACTACCAACGCGTATTCTTACACCACGCTGTCATTATACTCATATTTTAGCCTTAAAAGATTTCGAACTCCTATTTTGATATTTTCATACTTTTTACTCCTATCCGTGTAAATTTCTTATTTTGAAAATTAAATGTTATGGAGTAGAAAATTTTGAAATATCAAAACTACGGACTACATTTTAAAATAAATTTAATTAGAATAAATTTCTATTATAGCAAAATATACATTTTTTATAACTCATAGTCAAAATTTATAAAATTTGACAAAAAATCCAAAGTGGAAAAACTTTTTGAGACAAAAAAAGTATACAAAAGGCCAAAAATATGGCCAAATAGCTCCGGTACTCCCTGTGGTTTGGAAAAATGGCACCAATATCCCATCTGTTTTCAAAACTTATTTCTAAACTCCTCGTGGTTTCAAAACGTTGCACCCACACCCCCTCTGATCATTTTCCGGCGAAGATGGGGCATTGGCACATAATTTTTAAACCATAGGGGGCATTCGTGCTCATTTCTTATTTTCGTTTATTATTCTTCCCTTTTTTAATATTTTCTATCTCTTTTTCCTTTTCCTAGATTTTTTTAAATATATTTTCAATTTTTTATAATGTTTCAAAAATTTTCAAATTCTTTGTGTTTGAAATGAAAATAAAAATAAAAAAAATTAACATATATTGCATCTATCTCAACTTAAACATTTTCACTATTTGTTAATTAGAATAATTTTTTGGAATGTTCAAAAAAACAAAGAATAAAAAAATAAAAATATGGAAAAACGAAATGAAAAAAAATTAAAATACGCAAAAAAGTCTTATACAAAAAAAATTGGACACGTCTAAAAAAAGTCCATAGAATTAAGACGTTCAAAAAGGATATTCATTTTTATTTTTGTATTAATTTGTTTCTTATTTTATTCCTCATTTTTTTGAAGTTCTTAAAAAATTACGGAGTACTTTTTTTCAGAAAAAACAAAAATTGTTAATTTGAGAAGTACATATGCATGATATGTTATTTTCAAACAATAATAACTTTAAATTTTAAGAACATTATAAAAATAATTTTTAAAAGAACCTTTTTTAATAAATGAAACAAAAAATATGCGAGAAATAAAAATCAGCACTGATACCGCCTATGGTTTAAAAAATGTGCACCAATGCCCCCCTTCTTCACCGGAAAAATGGCCGGAAAATAATCAGAGGGGGCACGAGTGCAACATTTTGAAACCACAGGGATTTTAAAAATGAGTTTGAAAAACAGAGGGGATATTGGTGTTTGTTTTGCAAACCACTAGGATATCAGCGCAATTTGGCCCCAAAAATATGGCCAAATGTTGTTTATCATCTCGATCATCTATCTATCTACTCTCCCCATTCAAAAGAAAAATTATCACTTTTATTTTCACTAAATTTAGGAAAAATAATAATGAAAATAATTTTTTTTAGACTGACGAAGGAGTAATTAAATACGGAGTAATTTACATTAATGGACTTTATAAAACTTATTTTTAGTTCAATTCAATTCAATTCAATTTTGTTCAACAGTTTTTAATTACAATTACAAGTTCACAATTAAATCCAAATAAACAAAGTCTTCATTTTACATTTTCCAATATATTTTATGCACTTTATTTTGGCCCTGTTTGGCATCAGCTTCAGAGATTAGCGTTAGCGTTTTGAAAAAGCTATCCGACGGTAGCCTTTAGCGTTAGCATTTTCAGAATTAATATGCACCGTTAAAATTTTATCCAAAACGCTAACGCTAATTGAAAACGCTGTTACCAAACGAAGCCTTTACCCCATCATGCGTCACCATGAACAATTGATCCATTTATATTTAATTAAGATTATATATTGGATCTAAAATCATAAATACTTGGAGATATCGAGTACAAAACCTACAGATTATTTAATTTACTTGGAGATATAATCGATAAAATTTATATGCTTTTGTGGAATAAAATGTTGAGTATACAGAAGTTGCAGTATTGGCTAAGATAGTTATTGACCCCGTTTGGCATTAGCGTCAGAGATTAGCGTTAGCGTTTTAAAAAGGTTATCTGACGGTAGCTTTTAGCGTTAGCGTTTTCCGAATTAATCTATACCGCTAATATTTTATCCAAAACGCTAACGCTAATTGAAAACGCTCTTCCCAAACAATGCCATTATCAGGATTGCTCAAATGGTCATTGTCCGTGCATATTTGTAAAATAGATAATACTCCATTTGTTTTTATTTAACTCTTTTCGCTTAGTTTTACTACTCGTTTTATAAAATAATATAATTTTGTCAACTCGTAGTTTATAAAACTTTTCATGTACATATTTACAATATGAATTTTATTTTATAACTACAATCAAATAAATTAATTTGAAAATAATATATTGTATATATGTGTGCATAATAAACCACATGGATTTCCAAAGGCAATGAACCACCAGCAGTAAAGTTAAAGTCAAAGATCATCACTAAAAACATGTTGGGATCATAGTTAAGTTTCTATGAATGGACAAAGATAAATGACACAGTTTGAAAAGAAAGAAGAATTTGAATAAATGTCCAAGTTTAATTAATGCTTGTAACACTAGCAAATATTGTTTCTTTATTCCAATTTTGAAACTCAAAATTATATTTTGGCTTTACAAATATTTTATGTAAGTACCTAGAAAATTTTGGAATCAATATAATACCACAAAGGAAAGTGTTGGAGCCAGTGGCGGCGGAGCCAGGATCCAACACTAGTGGGTGCAAAGTAAAAGAAGATATCTGTGTCTGGCGGTTATCAGTGACCGGAGACATTCAAATAAGAATTGGTCTCAGAAACATTTTTTCGAACACATAATGTAAAATAAAATATATAGATAAAACTTCCATATCAATAAAAAATCCATTATAATTTTCTTCAATCAATCATTACCATTAACATGTTGAAATCACATTGCTCTTTTTTTCATAGCCAAAACAAGAAACATAGTGTTGCTATGCTTGCAATTTTTCTACCTTTGAAGTTTAATGGCGAGACACAAAACAAAAGGTAATATTGGATTAGTATATAGTATGGGTATGGAGTATTAAACAGAAAAGTTGGGAGTGACTACAATTGTAGTCATTTGCTCCCACTTGGCTCCGCTCCTGATTATAATTAAACGTACTTTTTTTATAATTCATGATCAAAAGATCCCACAATTTGACTAAAAAATAAAATTGTGACAATTTTTTAGGAATGAAATGAGTACTTTCCATGTCTCATAATATTGGTCTTGTACTTTTTTGTGTGGTTCCATCACTTCCATGTTAATAGATTATTTGTTCATTTTGTATTTATAATTCAAAATCAACATACTCCTTTTGTCCTATAATGTTCTTCTCGGTTTATTTTATGAGGTTTGACCGACTTTATTTTTAATTCAATTTATTTGATTGTAGGTGTAAAATTAAAAAATAAAATTTATATATTTAAAAACTACATCAAAAATTCTACAAAACAAGTGGTGACAAGACTATATTATTTTATCAAATACCTAATGAAAGTAGGTAAAGAAAGTGAATAAAGTTTGACCAGGTAAAAAGTAAGTGAGAAGAACATTTTAGGACAGAGGGAGATATTTCCCAAGAAAATAAAGAACCGATTTTTCAGCTGCGGTCCGGTCCAATCGAGATCAGGTTCGTCCCTAATCGTGTGATCAACGGAAATTATCCATAACTACGAAGAACAGATCAAGAAACCACTGCGGTCCGCGCAGTCTTTCTGTATAAAACCCGTCGAACCCACCATTTTCGTACGCGTGTGAGTGGGAGAAGAGAGAGAACTTAGAGAGAGAAAGGGGTTTTAGCGCTGTTTTTTCCCTTTGGCTGGTTTTCCAAACCCAGAGGTTTTTTCCCTTCATTTCACCGTTTTTTATTTCACGTGGGAAACAAATCGCCCATTCTTATTTCAAGCATCGAAACGAAAATTCACATAGGCAAAAAGAAAGATTGAAGCTTTTTCTTGTAAGGATTGTTCATTTCAAAAACCTGTGCAGAAAAAGAAAACTAACATATTTCTTCTCGTAAGGTAATTCTGATTTCCCCCCACAATTTTGGTGTTTTTGACGCGATCTGCGTTTTGGGGGATGGGATTTGGGTTGGAATCGCGGTGGATCCGATCCGGAGATCCGATCGGACTTGCCCAATTTGGGGTTTTGTTTCTTTTCTTCGGGTTGCGTGCAAAAGTCTGTTACGTAAGCTCTACACGTAGAATTATCGGGTT